TTCGCCGAGTCTTGAGTGAGTATGCGGTTGATGGCGCGCGGGGTGATCCGGGTGTCGGTCACCTTATGCCGTTTCTTTTTGGGTATCACCACCAAGCTGAGCGCCTCGTTCTGTTCGGGCGCCGGTTCGCGTTCCATGCAGAACGGGTTCAGGTGAGATGGCAGCCCGCTCATGGACGAGTATAGGGCGGCTGCTGCGGCGGCGTTGCTCAGGCCCGCCGATCCGTGCAGTTTTGGCGCGAACATCTGAGCGCCCCGGACGTGGCCGAGCGCTGCGGCGGCCGCGACCGCGTCCGCGCCGTTGTACAGGTTGGCAGCCGCCCCGCATGCCGTGTTGACCAGACCGTTTCTCATCTCGGTCGGTCCGTTGCTGGCCATCTGCAGTAGACCGTTACCGCCGCCGCCGTTACCGCCGGCCGTCACCGGCACCTGGTTGGCGGCGCCGTAGCCACCGCCGCCAACGCCGTTCATCATCTTCGACAGGCCGTTGACCAGACCGGAGTTGCGGTCGGCGCCGTGGCTACTGCCGCGGTCGATGACTTTGGTCCGGGGCGACTTGCGGTCGACGTCCTTGCACGCCGTCATCAGCTGCATGTCGGCCGCATCCGCAGCCGTCTTGCACGACGACTTGCGCTGCTGTTGCTGCTGCGTGAATTTGGCCATGATCGTGTCGATGAGTCCGGTCAGTGTGGTGGATATCTCGGACTTGAGCGCGTCCGCCAACAGGTCGAGGTCYGGGAACGGCGGCGTGGTCGTGGGTGGCTGACGGCCGGACCCGGGCACCGCGGCGATTTTCTCGGGCGTCTCGGCCGAGGCCGCCTTCTGCGGGTGCATGGGTGGTGGCACGTTCATTTGGTGGTGTTGGTGGTGGTGTTGCTGATGCTGCTGATGCTGCTGTTGCTGCTGCTGCTGTTGTTGCTGCTGCTGCTGTAGTTGCTGTTGTTGTTGTTGTTGTTGCTGTTGCTGTTGTTGTTGTTGCTGCTGTTGCAACTGTTGTTGTTGCTGCTGTTGTTGCTGGTGTAGTTGCTGTTCGGCTGCGATCGCGGCTTCTTTGGCCAGCCTGGCTTCCTGTTCCATGAACAGTTTGTGGCCGACGCCCTGAAGGTACATGGCCGCCGCGTTGTTGATTGCGTGGTGGTTGTGAGTGTTGTGCTGTTCCTGGAGCACTTGCTGCTGGAGCAGTGTCAGCGCCCCGTTGAACGACGGGTGTATGGGCATGTGCGTCTGAGGCAGGAATTTGACCATTTTCGAGAAGTTCGGATTGATCTGCTGAGCGGACGAGGGCATCATCGGCAGCGGCGTAGTGCATTTCGGGGCCATCGGCGGGCTGTGGCTCGCCGCCGAGATTTCCGCCTGTTCCTGTTCGGCGTCGCTGCCGTCCTCGGGCTCGTCGTCGTTGTCCATTCTGGTGCACAGTTGCACGTACTTGTGTTGCATTTCCGCCAACTGTTCCTGCATGGTGCGCAGTTGGTCTTTCAATACGTTTTTCTCGACCATTTTCTGTCTGAGCTCGTTGGGACTGAGTTCTTCGTCGTCGTCTTCGTTGTCGTCGTCGTCCACGTCCATCGCGTTGTACCGCTCGCTGTTGTCGTGCTGCTGCGGATGGTACAGTTTGCGTTTCTTGCARCCGTTGACCTGCACGGGCAACGAAGGACTGGACCTCATGGTGGACACGATATTTTCGACCCTAGCTTTTTTCAACTCGTTTTGTTCGACTTTCACCTCGAAGTCTTTGCTGTGCTCCTCAGCCGCGATCTCTTTGGTTTCGGACACGGGCGAGCCCAGTGACCTCTCGGAGTCGGTACAGTCGTTTATGTCGTCCGCGTCGTGATCATTGGTCACCGCGTTATTGTTGTTGTTGTTAATAAAATTGTTAACTGAGCTTACCTCGGCCGGGTCGACCGGCTTGCCGCCGCTGCAGTTGTCCACGATGTCCGCGGCGGCCTGCAAATTCTTGGCGGCTGTGGCAGCGGCGGAACAGTCGTCCGCGCCGCTGATGTCGTTTTTATTACTGTTGATGTTGTTGTTGTTGTTCATGATGCTGTTGTCCGGCGACGACGGGTCGTCGGAGTTGCGGAACTCCTGTTCGAGCGCGAGCAGCTCCTTTTTCCTGCCCTGCAGTATGTCGCGGAGCATGTGATGGGCCAACTCGCTGTTGGGACCGGTGGCCGGCGAACCGGGCAGACCGGGCAGTGGCTGTGTCAAGCAATCGGACGAGTCCATGGTCACCATTTCTTCTTTGACTTGACGGCCGATGAACTCGTTTAGCATTTTACCGGGCGCGAAGCCCTGGTTGAAGAAGTACTGCTGGTGGCCTTGGCCGAAAAACGCTCCGTAGAAGCTGGCGGCCTGGTTGAGCAGTGGTGCCGAGGACACGATCGGTCGCGAACTGAAATTCGGTATTGACGAGTAGCTGTTACGTGGCTCGCCGGCATCCACGCGCTGTCTGCTCCGCTTCGCCTTGTTCTTCAACAGTTTGTCGGTCGAACCGTCCAACGGATCACCCCCACCACCGATACCGCCGCCGCCGACACCGCCGACGAAACACTCCGCGCCCCCCGCCACCGCCGTCGTTCCGTGGTTGCCGCCGTCCTCCTCAGATGACATAGCCGGCTCCGATTGGCGGTCCCCTTCCTTCGCGCATCAACCGGATCACCTGCACACACACACGCACAACGTTAACGATTAATACACACACACACACATAATAATAATAATAATAATAATAATAATATACAACAACTGTTTTTTTCCCTTTCCCCCCACCCCGTTCGTTCGCCATCGACTACCCGCGACGACTAACCCGCCGTTATATTATTGCCGCCACCACTCGCCTATACCATACAATCGCTACTATATGTACACACACACACACACACGAACATTTACTTAACTTAAACTCGTAGTAGGTATAACATATTATGATGCATTTGCAGCAGTACAACACACACGCTACAGTAGTATACGTGTAGGTATATATGCGTTTACAATACCCTGCGGCTCGTGCCTTATGTCAAAAACCTAATGCATCTGCTCCTTCCGATCTTCGTGTACCTACATATATGGCTATTATGTGTATGTATATACGACTATTATATTAATGTGCCCACGACGACGACGTACTTAATCAAATCAAACGGCGGCGATAATAATATAATATCGAGCCACCCAATAATAATCAATATAATAATATAAGCCCCGCGACCGGAACTACATATTAGGTGTATATATACATTATACATATATARGYATAGGCGCCGTGGTRTCTCGACGAAACACTCGGAACTACGACGATGCTCAGATGCTGTTCTCGTACAATACGTTAAAACGTAAAATAATAACAATAATTGCAGGTACCTATATATATTATAATAGGTCATATACGCCTCCGTTGAATGAGTGAGTCTATATAATATGTCGACGCGTGCAGGACGAACAACAAACGATATAACGGCAACAAGTTTTTTTTTTTTCAATCGATCGATCGATATATTATATTATATGGCATCGGCACATTATGTGATGAACCCTATTCATATGATATAATAATAATTTCTAGAAAATCGCCGAAAATCATAATTATAGTCTTAAACGATATATTTTACCTCTTTCTTTTGAAAACCATCATCATCATCATCATCATCGATGCTTTCAACCGCGGAGTGCGCATATATATAGGCACGAAGAATCCCGAAAATAGCAAAAATTATTAAKAAATCCCTTGTGCTCTAACAGGATAATACTACAGGAATAATAACGATCGCATCGTTTTACGACAGTGATTTTTATTTTTCCCCCAAACATTAAAAACAAATATAATATACTATTATAGTTGCGATAATATACCAATAATCAGTGCGTGTACAACCAAATCATATATATAGTGTGTGTTTTAATATTGTAATGTATATATTAGGTTAATATAATAATTGTTTACTATATATAACTAACCATTTACCTGACGCACGGTCGTGTGTCACACACACACACAAAAGGGCAATTTATTTGAAAAAATATTTCCTGATTAGTTCATAAATCAAGCCACTGCGTTTACACGGTGCACGCTTTTCTTGACGACTTCAATTTGTACAGTAACTTTGCGCCAGCTGCAGAGCTATTTAACTATATATATTTACTTATTTTACAAATATTTAATATTTTAATATTCAGTAATTGGGCTGTACGTGTAGGTATAATTATTATTGTCTCGTTGACATAAATTATTTCTCTATATACAAATACAATAATAATTCGTGTCGAATCTTTTTTAACGTTATAATTTAATGTTTTTACTAAAGCGGATTTGCGTGCGTTAATATAACTCGCGGGGTTTTAATACCAATAAAATACAATAATTAGCAATACACCACGTCGGTACGTTTTCTGCGCATAAATAGGTGATGATAAGACTTACTCAATAATGATACACACATATATATATATATATATGCCCATCAATATTTAAACGCTACACACTTTTATCAGTGGAGGATCTAAGGGTGGTCCGAGTGGCCTTACCCCCTCCCCATCGGCCTAAGTATAATAAATAAAGGAAAAATACATGTTTAAAAATTGTGTCTATTTGTATGATGTATATTTGTATTAATTTCTGAAAAAATTTAAGATTTGCGTTTTGGACTATGCACCCCAAAAAAAAAAAAAAAAATTAAATCCTGGATCGACCGCTGACGTTTATATATAACTGTATGTTTCTCCGTTCGATCATTCGCGAATATTTAAATCGATTGAAAAGATAATACGTATATATGTATCGCGAATAGGTATATGTGATTTGGCCGCTTAAGGAAGATATGTCGAAATCGGAATCAAAATAATGAATTGTCAATAACGGATTTTGATTAAACTGTCGCCTAAACTTGACGAGACACATCTGTTTATTGTCTCGCATCAAACCCGAAACGGTTAACTTTTTTTTTGTTATTGTCACACTAAGAGTATATGTATACTTAGCATACATGTTCGTAATATTATATATTATAATTGTACTAATCACAGCAGTGGCGGGTTTCGAGCGTTCGCTACTCCCCCCTGGGTCTTGGTTATATATAGCTATATTAATAATATATAAATGTTAAAAAATAATCATTTTTACAAACTATTATTAATAGTAAATATTAAAAAAGTTTTTAAAAATACCTAATGGAAGAATAAAACATGAATACAATAATAGAAGTATATATATAATTTGGTCATATTGGACAGTCGCTCCGGCAAAAGAATAAAAATCATTTTTCGTGCTACAGTGTTAAAATCGCTTCGCTTATTCCCTCTCATAAAATCGTGAAAAAAAACCATCACTGCAGCAGTGTAGTACCCCACAATATTCGACATCGATACTTAGATGAATGTATTCATCGTGTTTTAATGCACGCTGAACGACGATCGAATATTTCGTAGAAACACTATACAACCTTTGACTAATCTTTTATTTACTTGTATATTATTACGTCAACAATAACATGCCGTGTTGACGTCTGACTTGCACTCCTGACGATATATACGTACAACCACGCAGAATGTATTACGCTACTTAATTATTTGTGTATTCAATTTTTTTTTCTAAACAGCCAAACACCACAGTAGACGTGTTTTTTTTTGGTTTTTGATCGTTATCGTTATTTTCAGAAGGAATAAGTATAGGCAGTAGCAGACTGAACTTAAATTTTAAATGACGCAATTTACAATACCTATGAATTATACCGGTTACCGTCAATACYAAATTAGTAAAATACGCTGTAAAAGTCTAATACATGGAATATAGATAGTATAGGTCTAGTATATAGTTGTATACATTATTTATTTATAAAAAGTTAGCATGTAATTCGACGTCGCTGGCACGGGGCGGTACCACCCCCTATAAAAAGTTGACGCAGCTGCGTCAAACCACTTGACCCCTTCAGTCCGCCACTGAGTATAGGTACCTACGAACCGTTTTTTCGGAACAAACCTGCAATGAGATACTTATAATTGACAGTTGCCTACGTATATTATAAAATATTATGACATTATATATACATATACGGTTATTACGCAATAAACTTTAATATTAATGTAATAGGTAACACCTATAAACGTTGAGAGTGACTAGCTATACTATATATATGGACCCGACATCGACCCATATCGTCGTTGAACTCGATGACGATTCCGTTTATTGGTTTATATCATCTATATTATGATTATGTTGAACGGTTTTATAATAATACCTATTGCTCTGATTTATGGTAGGTAGCTATAAGTGAACCGAATCGGATTGTAGGCACAACTGCTGCGTATAGTCGTGTCACGTAAGTTTCAGCGATTGGTGTGTTATTATAAGTGCTGTGTGTGTTTTATTCTCATAAATAATGTTTTATATGAATAATTGAATCTACAGTAAAATCGCGTACACGGCGCTTTACGAAATTATCGATATATATATATGCACATAGTTGTACGAGTTATATAAGCTAAAACGAAATACGAGATAAAAACACACTATGGGAAAATAAAAACCTTTTTGTGATTGTATAATTATACCATCTTCTGATAGAATTATATTTAGTTGTAAAATAATTGTATTAACGTGCGAATTTATATCTGAAAATCTTTTTTTCGTTATACGACAATACAAAAACGATAAAAGTATAATATCAAAGTCGAAAACTACAAATTTCACAAAAAAATTGTTTACCATAATCTAAAAAACAAGCCACCATCGGGATTCGTTTGAATACTATAAACAATTTTAAAGTATAGGTATATTTATTTAATAACAAAAAAAAAGTTTATGATATTGCGCACTGCAGGTAGAGGTCCAGATTAGCCGTTAGTATAATATATATATAAGTGAGATCGGATTATATACATCACCTCGAAGACTCGACTATATACTGACATCATCACTTCGATGATGAACAATATAATTACAATGTTTAAAATTCTAGATTTGGCAATAGGTATAACTTGCTCACGTAAAAAACAAAAAAAAAAATACCATTAAAATCAAAATGTGTGTATATATAGGAAATCTAACGGATAAAACCGTATGTACATATATTATATATATTCATATAGACCATATAGTATATATTGCGCAAATGCCGCGGAATAAACGTCGCGGTTACAGCAAACGTGTATGATATAAATAATAATAATAATATAACTCGCGCAGTCATCATATATATATATATACTGCATGTGCTACCACTATATATGTACGGATGTCGGAGAATATTATTATTATTATACGGGAGAAAGGAAACCGGTCGGCGGGCAAAAGACGAACGCCAAGAAGCAAAAGCCAACAAAAAATAAATWWAAAAAATACCCGCAAATAAGAAAGAGGGAAGGCAGCCTCTCCACCCCCCTCCACACCTCATCGACCCCGACCAGGTGGTGCCTTTGCGGACTCGTGGGAAAAAAAGCAGTGTCGTATATACGCACCTAAGACCGCGCGAACCCATATAATACGTACCTATATACCTATMTGAATAATATAATAATAACGGTTTTTTCTTTTTTTCTTTCAACGTCGCGCGTCTTGGCGAGGAAGTCACCGAGGGTTGTTCCGGGCGAGCACAATGGCAAAATATGTCTTTTCGACAACGACCGTTCGCCACCACCCCTCCGACCGCCCGGCAACGAATAATAGCA